ACTGACTTAATGGAGGAGTATCTTTGTTTAAATTTGCAGAGAAAATTGTATCATTAAAGTATACTATTCCATAATTAGTATTAACATAATTAGTATACATTAACAATATTTCAGAGCAAGGAAGTCATTTTTCAGTAGTACCAACTGATTCACACCAAGAAGTTTAAGTGACTTAGTCAGTACTTGGCAGTAGAAGAGTTGAAATTTTACTCAGATGATTCCTTTCCCATTAGTTTACATGAGAGTTTTCAGAGACATATTTAAAATTAATACATTTTAATCGGATTGTAAACTTCCTGCAGGCATATGTTGTTAGTTGTATTGCTCACTTTTGTTTATGTGTTTGATGTATTCTAGAAAAGTCATGTAGCTGTGAAAACAGCAGGTAGGTGAGGCTCAATAAAGGTTGACAGATTATGTTTCCACCACCTCCCCTTGCTTGACATACGCCTTTATCCTAATTGTGCTATCCTACCTGTACCAATAATACAAATAAATTAACAATATTCAACATCTCAAACTTGATTTCACACTTCTTACTGAGTTTTGTGAAATTTCCATGCTTCATCATTTACATCTACTCACAAAAAGTATGTGCGAAATAACTGTGAAGGCACAGAAGCAAAATATGAAGAAGTAATAATTCATCAGTAAAAAAAAATCTGTATATGGTATGTGAGCACTGACAGAACTTTTTTCTTGGCATTCAATTCCAACACTATAGAATTCTACAACTGTCTAAGAAACAGGAAAATGAGTATTACAGGGCTGCCAAAACAAGGTGATGCTGTAATTATCAGGCCTTTTTAAACTTCCCCATATTTTTCCATACACTGACAATGACTTATGCATAGCATAATCATGTCTTATCCAGTGAATTATATGTTTTTCCCCTTTTAACTTAGCTTTTTAAGCAATCCTTTGTTAAACTTCAGCTTCAAAATAATTTTTAAATTTTATAATTTTTCCCTTTTTATATATCCTTACACTTAACTCACTGACAAATACTAAGTATGCAGCAATAGATACAGTCTCCAAAAAGGAAACATAATTGACATCATTATTTATGAGCTTTTCTGTTATACAATTCATACTCCTCTCAATAAAACAAGCACTCACTTTTCCATATGCTGCATTTCCGATATCTGTAAGAATGATATCTTACTTGTACATTTATTGAACACTACTGTCAAAAAGAAAAGACTGAAAGCTTAGTTCTAATTATTAATACAAATATTCTGTGTTCAATGTGTATTAAAAGAATTTCAATTCATCAAGAACTAATCACATTTTACTCTGTATTTTTTATTCTTGTTGTGGTCAGCACATACGAAGCAGTTAAGGTGTAAGATAATCAAAGAACTGTTAGTGGTTGAATAAATTTAATACTCTTACTTCATCAGCGCAGCATATTAGAAAGTCCCCTGGCATATTTAGCTAGATAGATATTACATAGGATTAGATATTACATAGGATTTCTGATATTACAGATTTCAAATACAATAGAGGCAGAGTGAGGGATTGCTTTCATTCATCTCTTACATGACATGAAAATTGTCATGAAAATAATTTTCTTTTCAAAAACAAACACAAATAAATTAATAAAACTATAATCCAATCTTCATCATATTAATGGAAAAATAAATATTCATTTTCTTTTATAAGAAGGGATTACCATAAACATCTCAGGTATACTTGGGACTTCAAAAATAATCCAGTGATGTAATACAAGAAGTAGACGGTTTTCTCAGCAACCTCATATTTTTTAAAATCCAGCATATTCTAAATATTAGGTGGACTATGATGGTCTAATATAATATGTATTTAGCAACACATTATCTAACTCCATATCTCTTCGTAGAGTTATATAAATTCATGTATTCATTTTTACTTTCTAGTCTTCCTCTCAAAATATTTATATTCTATAAACTTCTATTGCTAATGCACACACAGACACGTTTTACAAGAATGTTTGTCTTGTTAAAATTAAGAGATCTAAACACAAAACAATAACAGAACTACAAATAGAAAATATTTATTCTTACATATATAAACTTCTCAAAACTTTCACTTATATAGTTTATATATGGTATTCCTCCTTCTGGATTAGAATTCTTTTGGAACAATATATTTTACTTATTTGATTCCCAGAGTTTAATATGATATGATACATGACACATAGTAACACAACAGAAGACTTTTCTTTTTAAAATTATATTCAGAAACAACTATTTCAGTTTTTGTCTCACCCTCATTTCCCCCCATCTGCCCTGCTCCCCATTCTTTCATTAAAGTAAAATAAGATATGGAAAATAATTCATATAATTCTATCTTCAGATCAGAACCAACAAACTAGCATTTGATGTGCCTTCTTCAGTGGAAGAAAGACAGGGCAATTAAACAATTATTAGTCAAACTATACATGAACACAAATACTAAGAGTAGAACATGACTTCCAATCAATTCTTAAGTATACTCTATGGGAATATAATACCAAAATAAGTAATTGGTAGTTATTACTAATTAGTAAAGCAAACACAGATGAATCAAAATATTTTTCCACTTACCTAAACTTAGTGGCTTACAATAAATGCTGAATTATAAACTGTATTAAAAATAAACCAGCACACACATTTTCTCAGTGAAGGATTAATAAGATATTAATAGAAGTCTTAAGAGAGCAACATACTTGATGTTTAAGAAACCTGGGGAGAAAGAGGAATAAATAAAGTGAGCATATACTTTTTGTTGGTAGAATGGCATCAGCATTTTGAATGTATATTGTAACCACAATTCTTTATAGGAATTCCATAGGTGAAACTTTTTTTTTCCTTATATCTAGAGCTTTATCTAGCTGACTTACATGTTCCTTAGGTAAATATAAAGGTATTACATAGCCATTGAAGTGTTTGCTACCAAGTGATATTAAACTACTATATTTAAATATGATCTTTAATACCTTAATATTAAAAAGACAATCAGTGAAAATTAAGTTTAATAATGTATAATCTGAGCAGCTAATTATACTGAGAATTTAGAAGTGCAGGCTTAAACGTGTATGTGATATTCATCTGACACCTCAGGAATAACTAATTAGATCACTCATAATTCCCTAGGAAATAAGTAAAGGGCACAGGAGAATGGATATAGCTTTGGTTCAAACATGATTTTATTATAGTCTGGACATTTAAAAGTACTTAAAATGATGTAGAAAGGCAACTGGAAGTCATTTGACTCTTCCTCTCTAATTAAACCTGCCTGATATGGATTAGTGATCCATGAAATAGGGACAACTTTAGTACTTCTAATATTAGGAATCTTGACCATTTAATTGGTCCCCAGCATCTTGTTAATGATGCTGTTTTCCAAAAGATCATGCCTTCTTACCAGGTGAAAGTGATTATTTTTTTCATTTTGGTGTGTATTATACTGTATAAATGTTGTGTATTGCTTTTCAAATCAAGACTGATTCTCCTATAGTTAAGAATTTTCAAGATATACCAATCTTTGTGTTTTCTGTCTACAAAATTTCAATGAGCACTGGCCATAATGCACAGTAACAGAATGACCTTATAAAATGCTCAGTGTCCTCAGACTGAGCAGATAAATTATAGGATGGTGAATCATTAAAACTTTGCATGAAGTTGAATGGGGTCTGAACCTTGGCTACCAGTTCATTAAATGTTTGACTTTGGAAAATTCACTGACTGATCTTGCTTAGTCATAGTTTCCTCATTTATCCAAAGTAGACAATAATAGTTACCAAATAAGGTTGTTGTGTAGATTGGGGAATACTGGTAAAATATTTGACCTATTATACTATCGCTGGCATTTAAATTATTCTATTGATTGGTAATGAATTTTATTTTTAATAATTTTTGTAATATATTTTACTGTTAGCAAAGGAATAATAAACAGTTTGAGGACAGTTAGTAGCAGAAGGTGGCAGCACAGGGATTTTAATCCAGTTAGTCCTGGTATTAAGCACTACACTGTACACTCTTACCTGGATCTATGGCACCAGGTTTCAATGAGGCTGCTTTGGGCTGCACTTCCCTCTGAAGTTGCAACCTGTTACTCTGGAGTGGCTCCCTTTCACTGCCATGGTGGCTGAAAATCCAGTGGTCCTCTTCTCTGCTACTTCTAGCTGCCAGCCAAGTGTTCTAAAGAAAGAGAAAGCTTTTATCCACCTTGAAAGAAAGCAATTATTCTTTTTTCTTATGGGTATTAGCAAAGATAAATACTCCTATGATAAATCCTGGCATTTTCTTGCTTACATTTTCATTGATAATGTTCTTAAATTCTGGATACAAGAATATACACATTTTGAATATTAATGAATGCTGGCAAATTATATTCTGAAAAGGCAATGCCAAATCTTACTATCACAATAAATGAAAGGGCCTATTTCACTATATATTCACTAAAAACTGGATATTCTCAAAGTTTTCTAAAATTCTTCATCAATTGTATGGGTTTAAAAATGTGTTATTATAATTTACAATAAGGCTGAAAAATCTTAAGTTTATTGGACACTTTCTCTTTTCTAAATTAATATATAAAAGTTAACGTATGTGACATACATCACAGAATAATTGGCATGTGTCTGGTCCTATGCTAAGAAGATTTTATTGATAGCCTACCGGGTATTCAAAAATTTTGGGTATGGTATGTTGTATTTTTGCCTCTATTTGACTGATAATTTACAGAAAACGTCTATTGTACCCTCCAAGTCACGCAACCAGCAAGAGTTGAAGCTAGATACAAATTTGTATTTGTAATCCAGCTACATAAATAATTCTACTTTTCAAGCTCTAACCACATATGTTTGTATCCCTTATCTATTTTCTTATGTGGCTTTTTGTTCTTGATTTATTAATGCAAAAGGAATTTGTTTTTAATAGAAACAAAACAGTATTTGTTTTATTTCAATACTAGGCTTAAACCTGTGTGTAAAACAAGCAAGCCTAATAATAGCACCATAGTTAGACTAGCCTGCATTTCCAAGCCATGATTTTACAATGTATTAAGCAAACAAGTGATCAAATATCTCTCCATCCACCTGATGTGATCTTTTTTATGCACATAGCTAATGAGTTCCATTCAGAACAGCTGAAAATCTTTTAGTAGCAGCTTTAAAGATGAGCTCATGAGTTCAGTTTAAATTTCACCAATTAAATTAGGTCAAATGGAAGGAACTCAAATGAGTATTGCCCAATCAGAACCCATTATTTGTAAGTGATCAGTAACATTAAAACTCCACTTAGATCTAATTATTGAAAACCTGCATATAAGTGAAAAGATTAGTTTCCATTTATCAATCTCTGAATCCCAGGTTTTCAAAGAAAAACCTATCGAAGGAATACTTACCAAAATCAGATAGGAACATTAAAACCTGCATAGTTTATCAGATTTGTTCCACTACAACCAGTTTGCATACAGTTACACATCAGTTCATTCTGTATACACTCTAGACTGACTAGAACAAAGTTTAGCATAGAAAAGCTTTAAGAAACAGATTCCTAATTACAGAAGTTGCAGAGTTCAAAAGGGTATGAAAAAAACTAATGTAAATTCAAGACTCCTTTTCCTTTGTTTCAAAGAAACAGACTTTCTGTAAAAATATACACAATTTTTACAAATACATTTACAATTTATTTGTCTTAAAAACTGAGGATAGCCATATTCAAAACTAATATCTGAGACTTCCGTCAAGTATTCTTGGCCATAAACTAGGCTAATAAACTAAGAATCATGGAAGCCAAGCCAAAGTATAACAAGTATAAAAGTCCTGAACACCTGGACTTTCTATTAGGAAAGCTAATTATAGAGGGGAAAAGCTTCCCTTGTACAGTACTGAGGCTTGCTGTCATAGTTCTATTACTTGTAGCTTTTATACAGGTCACTGGCATTGTTAGTGCTTCTCTTAACACTACAGAAAATTAATGAATTCGGTGGGTATATTTAATCAATTCTATGACTTGCCTGGCTACTGGCCACTCTCCTGTTCTCAACAAGGAAATTAAGTCTTTCCACTCTACCATCTTCACTAAATCCAAAAGTCCTCCTCCATAGCCTCCCAAACAAACTTTGCTTTTTGCTGAAACCGAACTTTGCTTCTTTCAGACAGTGCCTCTTCAATCAAGGGGTAGATCTTTTCCCATGTATTTATTCTTGTTAGCCATAATGCATGCCACTTGGCTAGGTTGCCAGAGCGCAACTCTTGGAAGTCACAGCTTGGAGTCCAGCTGATGTCACAGATGTTACCTGGTTTTGGTGGTGGTGGTTGGTTAAAAGTCAACTATTGCACTTATAAGCCTATCTTAGATATGCCAAATCAGCTCCTACTCCAGCAACACCTGCAAAACCAGCAGCACATTTCTGATGCCACCTTCTAGGTCCTCTACATGGAAGAACTCCACAAACCCATCCCAGCCTACTTGTTTAACTAGCCAGTCCCGTTTTGTCCTAACGAGAACTTCTGATACTTTCTGCTAATGGTTCGATGCAACTTTCTTGGTTTATGGTCTTCAAGTGTTTGGCCACAAAGGCACCAAAATAAATGAGAGTCACAATCCTACCCCAGCTTGTTACGCCGTCGCTGAAAACATGGGCCTCACTCGAGACAAAGATTTGACGTCGTCTTCGTTTTTGATGTCCAGTTTCCGAAGCATGCCTCGTAAGGCCATCTAGCGGTTGCGGGGCACGCCTTCCCTAACGCGTCGTAAGGTGTCCAGCGCCTTCCTGTTGGCGGCCCCAGACCTGCCCATTGGCTTCGTGTCCTTGGTGCCAGTTGCCTGCTACCCAAGGTACCCAGAGATAATCTCCAGCGACTGCCAGTACAACTCGTCCTACTCCGACCCGTACGTACTGGAGCCATTACCAGCCTCCCCGACCAATTCCAGCAGGGGCAGGACAGCCGGCTGCTTGCCGAGAGGCTCCAGCTCTTCTTCAGGCGACATGATGGCGTCAACAGCCGGGGCTTCCATTTCCTCAAGCCGGGCGCGGCGAGAGGGCACGAAGCACAGCAGCCTGGAGAGGGTCGCGGTGACGTCAGGACCTCGTCGCCAATGGGCGGCGCCGCAGGGCCCTCTCGGCATCGCGCGTGAGAGCAGCCAGGGCTAGCGCTGGTGCTTCCACCAATCACCGCGCCGGCCTCCCCTGTCCCTTCCTCTCGCTGGGCCGACGCCTCCTTCTCAGTGGCCAAAAGCCGCCATCCTGGGGGTTGGCGCCGCCGCGGCCGGCCCCTCAACAGTAGAGGTTGTGTCTGATTACCGCTTTGGAAGCCAAACATCGCCAGTCACCACTGCCGCCTGGCTGAGAAACTGGGGAAGACCCTGACTCCCTACTGGAAGAAAGCTGAAGTGAGAAATTTGTTTGTTCAACAAAGGAGAGTTAGATAAGGGCATTTTAGTTGAAGTTTCCCCAGCAGTCATTAAGTCCACTGACTGGAACCAACAAAGATTACGTATATTGGGAATCAAATCACCTCTCTCTCTATATGGGCCAACAGGAAATCAGAACATGAGAACTACAATCATATCTCATGCAGGCCTTCTTCCCTATTCTTTAGGAATTATGGAGGAGCTCCAGAAACCTACCTCATCCTAGACCCCAATACTCAGCATCCAGGCATGACTATCCCCTTTGGGTCCTTCGGGACTAACCACATCATGTCTTTTATTGGTGCTTGAATCTGCTACAACAAAGTCAAAGATGATACAGCGTAAATTTCAAAATAACTAAATTTCACGTCTCACTAGAAATAATGGTAGGTAGGCAGGGTAATAGATACGTTGATTACTTTGATTCAATCATCCCACATTGTATACATGTATTAAAACATTACATTGTACCCCATAAATGTATACAATTATTTGTCAATTTTTTATTATACTTTAAGTTCTGGGGTACATGTGCAGGGCGTGCAGGTTTGTTACATAGGTATACACATGCCATGGTGGTTTGCTGCACCCATCACTTCATCATTTACATTACATATTTCTGCTAATGCTATGCCTCCCCTACTCTCCTACCTCCCAACAGGCCCCAGTGTGTGATGTTTCCCTCCCTATGTCCATGTGTTCTTATTATTCAACTCCAATTTATGAGTTAGAACATGCAGTGTTTGATTTTCTGTTCTTGTGTTAGTTGCTGAGTATGATGGTTTCCAACTTCATCATGTCCCTGCAAAGGACATGAACTTATCCTTTTTATGGCTGCATAGTATTCCATGGTGTATATGTGCCACATTTTCTTTATCCAGTCTATCATTGATGGGCACTTGCCAAAAAAATTCTTAAACCCCACATTCCCAGCTTACCAACGATCCTCAATTCCCTACTCCTTATTCTTACAAAGTTCATATAATTCTTCCACTCTGTATTCACAACTTCAGTTTATTATCAGTAAAATCTGCTGTTCTTGAACTATTTCTGAAAATTCCCATTACTGTTTTGCTCTTGAGAAAAGCTGACAATGCAGTAAGTATGAAGTGTTTTCTGCATCTTCTCAACTGGTAACTTTTTTCTCTCCATAAATCTTTCATCCCCGGGCTGGAAGGAAGAAGATACCTTTGATCCTCATTTTTGCTTTTGGACTATCCTCCTTCCATAACACCCTCTATATTTGTATCTCATATCATCATTTTGTGTGTGTGTGTGTAACACAAACTGAACTTTAATTTGCTCTGGTCCACATGATCTTCAGAGCCTAAAAGTTCCTGTTTTTTAATAACTATGGAAAAATATCTGCAAATGACAAATGTATGAAGGCATGACCAGATGCAAAATTTCAGTTCCACCTTTCTACAGCAGCTGCTTTAGGCAACCATTAAAAAACAACTCCCCGATCCTTATTGTTCAACATGTACTTGACAACATGTGGCAATATGGTACAGTTTATGAAGTTTATAAATATCAGTACCTGTAATAAAATATAAAATACTGAGTATCCCTTTTTCAAATATTAAGTCTCTGAATGCTTCATTCATCCTTTGGTTTCAAACCCATACAATGCACTCATATTACATTGTATATTTTGCATGGAGACAGAACACTGTACATCTGTTGGGGAAGGTGGGGTGCTGTGGGAATACCAAAGCACTACATCATAGAAAGTAAACGTTGAAGCAAAAATACTTTCTGAATATATACTGTACATTATGTAAACACACATTCAGAATAAGAATCAACACAGGCCAAAATATTGTTTTTAGGAAACCAGAATTCATATCATCATATTACAATGACCCACTACTCCTCATATCAGATGTCAACCCCAGGTCCCTTTGCCCTCTATTCTCAATAATGCTCTGTTTTTCATAATGACTTTTTCTAATATTACATGTATCTAAATTCTTAGCAATTTCACCATATATACAATAATCTTTTTTTTTTTTTTTTTGAGACGGAGTTTCGCTCTTGTTACCCAGGCTGGAGTGCAATGGTGCGATCTCGGCTCACCGCAACCTCTGCCTCCCGGGTTCAGGCAATTCTCCTGCCCCAGCCTCCTGAGTAGCTGGGATTACAGGCACGCGCCACCATGCCCAGCTAATTTATTGTATTTTTAGTAGAGACGGGGTTTCACCATGTTGACCAGGATGGTCTCGATCTCTTGACCTCATGATCCACCCGCCTCGGCCTCCCACAGTGCTGGGATTACATACAATAATCTTTTAACATATCAGCCTTTAAATTCTTTAACTCTTCCCATGAGAGATCTTAACTTCCACTCTATCAGGTGGAACTGCAACACTTTCATAATCTTAATTTAATGCATTCCCTTTCAGAAGACCACATAATTCATACAAGCTCACTTTTAGCCAGCACCTGATCCAATCTAATAACCTCTGATCTATTAAGCACAACACATTTTCATTGTTTTCTGCTCACTCAATGTCCCTACTTCCTTCCTTGCCCAGATTATTCTATGGTTAATCATTATAATCATTTGTGTGTGTACTCTCTCAATTATCCTATACCCTTATCTCACTTTCTTACATTTGTTTGATAATGAAAATTCACCAATTTAGTTATGTTCGACACTCTACCTCCATGCTCCTTGCCTCTTTTAGCCAATAACCTTGGTTTTCATTGCATTGAGCTAGGAAATCATCAGACTCTCATTCCCAAATAGAACTACTACCAACCTCCCCTTGTCTAACCATAGTCCAGATTCTCTACTTTGGAACAACTGATATTTTGAGCTAGATAATTCTTCATTGTGGGAACTGTAGGATGTCCAGATAATTCTTCGTTGTGGGAACTGTAGGATGTCCATTTCTGATCTCTATACACTAAATGCCAGTAGAAACCGACTGTGGCCATCAAACATGTCTCCATGCTTTGCCAGCTATTTTTGGCAAGGGAGGGTGGATGCTCTTTCTTGATGAGAACGACTGTCATAGATGAATTTTCTATAGTCCTAACTAAAACCAATTACTTCGTTTGCCCTCTCATCTTTTATTTTCTTCTTTCTCCTATATCATTTATTTTTCCGCACATCTTCATAAGCATACAAATGTGTTTTTCTGTCCCATTTGTTAAAAAAAGCAAAAAAAAATTCTCTTTATCTCATTTCCCTCTGTATCTCCTTTCCTATGTTTTGTTCTGCCATGAAGCTTAAAAATATATAGAGAGAAGAAACTCAAACAACTACCTATTAGCTTTAGTAAGCATGTGAAAGAAAGCCAATGTTTCAGAAGAATTGACTCACAGGAGTTTTTTTAAAGCCATGTTTACGTCCAAAATTGGTAACAAACATTTCAGTTGGGATAATATTTGGGTGTTTGATTAATAGACCAGGTTTTCATTTTTTTTAAATTAGAAAAATACCTAAATTGTTTATGTTTTTTTGGCTTTTCTCAGTATGAAATATTTTCAGTATCTCTGATTTCATATCTATCTTAGAATGTAAATCTTTTTTTTTTTTCCTTTTTTAAAATTGTACTTTAAGTTCTGGGGTACTTGTATAGATCTTGCAGGATTGTTGCATAGGTACACACATGCCATGGTGGTTTGGTGTCTCCATTCCCCCGTCACCTACATCAGGCATTTCTCCCAGTGTTATCCCTCCCCAACCCCTGCTGTCCCTCCCCTAATCCCCCACCACCAACAGATCCCAATGTGTGATGTTCCCTTCTCTGTGCCCATGTTTTATCATTGTTTTAACACCTGCCTATGAGTGAGAACATGTAGTAGTATTTGGTCTTCTGTTCTTGTGTCAGTTTATTGAGAATGATAGTTTCCAGATTCATCCATGTCCCTACAAAGGACACAAACTAATAATTTTTTATGGTTGCATAGTATTCCGTGGTGTATATGTTCCACATTTTCTTTGTCCAGTCTATCATTGATAGGCATTTGGGTTGGTTCCACGTATTTGTTATTGCATACGGTGCCACAATGAACATACATGTGCATGTGTCTTTATACTAGAATGATTTAAAACCCTTTGAACTAATTTATACTCCAGCAACAGTGTAAAAGTGTTCCTATTTCTCCACATCCTCTCCAGCATCTGTTTTCTCCAGATTATGTACTTATTGCCATTCTAACTGGCATGAGATGGTATCTCAATGTGGTTTTGATTAATGACCAGTGATGATGAGCATTTTTTATATGTTTGTTGGCCTCATGTCATCTTTTGAAAAGTGTCTGTTCATATCTTTTGTCCACTTTTGAATGTGTTTGTTTTTTTCTTATAAATCTGCTTTGGTTATTTGTAGATTCTGGATATTAGCCTTTTGTCAGATGGGTAGTTTGCAAAAAAATTTTCCCCCAGACCCTTTACTTCTTTGACTTCATCTCTTGCTATGCTCCCACATTCTCACTGCACCCCAGACATATTACTTTCCTTGCTGTCCTTTGAAACTGTCATGTACACTTCCAATCTTAGACCTTTTCTCTAGCAGTCACACTTTTAGAATGATCTTCCTCCAGATATTTGCAGTGCTAACTTTCAAATGGTTGCTCAAGTCATATTTTCCCAATGAGTTAAACCCTGACTGCTCTAAATAATACTGCATCCTCCAAACTAGTATATCTGATTTAGCTTTTATTATTCTACTTTTTTTTTCCAATATCATTTCTTATCTGTTAACATATTAATGTATTTTAGTGTATTATATATTTTTATTCATACTCCATCTCCCTCCATTAGAACGTAAGCTTCATAAGGGCAGTAGTCTTTGTTTGTACTGATGTTTGCCAAGTGACTGAAATGCTGCCTAATACAGAGTTGGTGCTCTATGGTAATTTATTAAATATTTGTAGATCCAAAAAGTTCCATTTATGAATGTATTGTTATGAACACACTACTCTCTGCCTATATGCTTTTAAGTCTCTTGCTTTTTTTTGTCTCCTCATAGTCTTTTGACAAAACCTTAACTCTGGTTAAAACTTATCCTATAACTGCTCAGTAACTGTACATTAGTAAGGGAGTGTTGCTGGAGAAAAATAATCATATTGAGTTGTTTTACCTTAAATTTAGGACCACAAACAACTATTGGGCCCTTAATTCTGCCAGGCAGATGTACTGCATTTCCTTGTTCCATCCTTTCTCCCTTTCCCAGATGAAAATCAATTGCTTTTTGTTTTCTTTATAAATATCCATCCTCTTATTTTTATTCTCATACTGAAATTCCTTGCCTTCAAATTGGACTAAAAAATAAAAACATCCACAAGAGTACTTCTACAAACTACAACAATTACATACACAGACACTTACATTTCTACTCACATACTATGCTTTTCCTTCAGTCACATTGGATAAACTCTTAACACTCATATCAGAAGCCAACCCTTCCAATTATCTAGTGAATACTATCCTTTGCTTCTTCAAGAATATCTTTCTGGTGTCTGCTCTTACCCACTCTAGAATATAATCAGGATTTCACTCTCTAGAAGGTGATTTTCATTAGGATTTGCCAACGATATAATTCTCTCAACTTAAAAGAAAATTATCTCTATTTCCAGTTATTGTATCAGTTTTCTACTTTTTCTTATTATGAAGATCCTTAGCAAAGTGGTCTGTCTTTGCTGCCTCTAATTCCCCTCAAGGCAGAATTTTCCCTTACTACTCCACTATTCTACATTCATGTTTAATGTGTACACACATATATTCAATGAATTAATCAATGAAAACAAAATATACTATAAAGAAATCAAGACTTGCATCATAATATAAATGAATAAAATTACTTACTAGGGGAGTAATATCAGTGAGTTGGAGATCTAGGAAGCTTTAGGCCTTTTTTCCCCCACAGAACATGAAAACATTACTAGAGACTGGCTAAAGTAACTCACAGAAGCTCTGGAAATAAGTCACAGATCTATAGCAACCAAATGAATGTCAGTTACGAAAAATACACATTAAAAAAAAAATTGGGTGGCATTTTACAAACCCTGGCCCCACTTCCTCCCTGGTGCAGCAAGATGTAGTTTGAAGGAAGTATTGTTTCAGTCCCTAGTTCTTTTCTGAGAACTACAGTATAGAAAATCAGAGCAGAACTAATTAGTGACATTCAAGCCTGGCTACTGGCTGCCTGAGGAATTGATCTATTGGGCTCTGTGTTGATTAAACTGGAGCTCAGAAAGCCAAACCTGGCACATGTCAGATTACAGGCTAGGTCTTTACCTATAGCTTTGGAAAGCTGTAAGGGAACAAACTATAGACTATAGATAACCTGGAGCAAGAGATCACTGATGGAAGAATACAATAGAACAGTTAAGACCAGAAGAAAAAATAGTAATGAGACATGTTCAATATCACTAATCATTAGGGAAATGCAAATCAAAATCATGAGATACTTCACATCATTAGGATAGATGTTTAAATGAATATATAAATAAATGAATGAAGATGTGGAGAAAAAGAAACTGTTTAGAATATAGAGAAATTGTAACCATGCATTACTCATGGGAATGTAAAACATTTCGACCTCTATAGAAAACAATATGGCAGTTCTTCAAAACATTAAAAACAAAATTGCTATATAATCAAGACATTTCACCTCACATTATATACTCAAAATAATTAAAAGCAAGGACTTGAGGAGATATTTGTACACTCATGTTTATAAAAGCCGCCCAGCTGTCAATGGATGAATGAATGGATGAACAAAATGTGGCATATACATACAGTGAAATATTATTTGGCCTTAAAAAGAAATACAATTTGGAAACATGGTACAACAGGGATAGACCTTGTAGAAATTATGCTAAGTGAAATACATTAGTCTTTAAAGGAAAAAATACTGTATTACTCCATTTATATGAGGTATCTAGAGTAGTCCAATTTCATTATGTCTTTGAAATGTTCACATCAGAGGAGTTAATCAACTTGCCAAAGTGTATACAGATGGTATGTAATAGGGATTGTTTTCTATTTCAGATTAGACTTTATTTTCTAGAGAGTGTTTCCTGATTCCTTAACCTGGGTGGGGGATCTCTCCAATATTTCCCCCATACTTAGCATTGCCATTTATCTTGTCACTCAGGATAATAACTTATTTAATAAATTGTAAATTCCTCCAGGAAAAGATGATGTCTTTTCTTATTTCACAATTCAGTTTCCAGATTTTATTAAAAATTATTTCCACTATCATGGTTACTCCTTTCTTTCTCCAATTCTACCTCCATTATTCATAACAACTTTCTTTCATTTAGCATTCACAATTTTCCTGGCACCATGCTGGCTTTCTTATATATTAACTCTTTTATGCTTTCTAACCTGTCTTATGCAATAGATAGTACCATTCTCATTTTAAAATGAATCCATAGCTCCATTCTTAACTTAGAGTCATAACCTAATGGAGCCCCTAATGTCTTACCAGAACATTCCAGTTATTGCATGATGAAATAATTAGCATATAGTTCTTTCTCTTTCTGTTGGAGTTTCATAACTTTTCTTCAAACAGATCATAACGGCCAGGTATCCCTCAATATTTCTAAGAACAGCAGCAGCCAAGATGATTTCAAGGCCTTACTTCAAAAAAAAAATTGAAAATAGTACCTATGACTCCTATTTTAGAGGAACTGACACATATTCACACTTGGCATTTTTCTTTTGGAAACAGATTTATCTCTTCTCCCTTTGTTTCTCCTTTTATCCTCAATATTACTTTCTTCTGAAAAATAATCCATGGGATGGTAGTACATAAAACATATTTAGTAAATGAAAATATTTTATTCTTTTAAATTGTGATTCATAAGATAGGTAAAAGGGAGATGAGTTAAATTTGTCTCAAAATTAATGAAAATTTAAAAATATTAACATGTATTAATCAGCATATGATTACTGAAATATATATCAGCATAAAATGAAAGTGGTTCTGAAAATTTAAAATGCATACATTTCCTTTCTTATGTATTTATTGTACAATATGGAAAATATGCCTTCTCATTTTAAAATGCTACATAGAAATTTGAGTTTTAAGTGCAAGCTTTAACCTGTATTTCTAAGTATTTGGAAAATTTATGGAATGATAATATAATATGAGAAAGAATAGATTATTTAATATTTGCAATATCCTGCCTTGTTTCTTTCTTTCTCTCCAGGACCAGTGAGCCTAAATATTAAATACATATATTTGGATATGATACTATGTATGTACATTATACACACACACACACACACACACACACCCATAATTATATCACATTTTATGTGAATAGTATTACCAAGCTATGAGAATGAGCACTTTTTTGCTAATGAGACAGAAAAGACACAGCAC